AAAAATGTACGTATATATAAAAGTTTAATTTAATTGAAATAAAATGTATATGTATAAAAACTTTTACGATCCGACACAGATAATTTCACAGTTAATTTCCTCGTACACATTTTAAATAAACGTTCATTTTATGAAATTACATTAGCATTTAATTTAAATAAGAAAATATTAATTAATTAAATACAATATTAATTATTGAATAATTAGCAGATAATAATACAATAATAAATAATAAACTAATAATTATAAATAAGTAAAAAATATATTACAAAATATTAATAAATAAATTAATGTCATTAAAGTGAGAAAAAAAATTTTTTTACAGATTTTTACATAAACTACATAAAAAATAATTAAATTTAAAATGACAAATAATTTATTACAGATTTTTATATGAATTTAAAGAGAAATAAAATTTACTACAAATTTTACGCTGATATAATTTACTGTCTGGGGCATTTGTAATTTAATTATTACAAATATAATTATAAGCAATTGCTTGATCATCTCTTCTGATATTATGTATTTAATAATCCTTTAAAAAAGAAATTATTTTCATTTTATCTATTAATCTGTGATTTGACATCAGTCGCTCTCATTGAAAATGCGTGTTCAAAAATTACGAATTTACGTGAAAGCTTTAATGAAAATACTTATCCGTCTCCCAAGCAAAACCGAAAAGGGAATAGGGATAAGTCAAATGCTGAAGGAAAAGTTTTTGGTTTGCTTTTCGCGGGCAAACAGCTGCGGAGTCGCATCGAATGACAGAGTTTTCTTCTCTGGAAATCACGAGGCGAGAGAAAGAGAAGAAAGATCAGAGAAAGAGAGAATACAGCTGAAAGAGATAAAACTGAGAGGAAGAAAAAGGAGGAACAGTAGCGCGTTATCAGCGATTTTTTCCAAACTTTCGACCGCCATCAAACTTTGCGATCTTCAAAAAGCTGATTCTGTTGTTCCGGCGAGTTGCGGGAGAAAGTTTAACGATAATTAATCCTCGGACAGCAGCCCGTGTCTTCTCTTAGATTTATATTATTTACATAAGATTCGATTTTTTTGTATAAGATATTCTCTTATTTTTATTAATTAATTTATTTATATTGTTTTTATTTTAATATTTTTCATGTACTTATTTTTATTTTAATATTTTAGAAACATGTTTTTCGAAAGAAGAGTTTAAAGAAACGCAATTAAATAAAAAAATTAAATTGTTTATTAAGCAAAGAGTTTATTTTAAATTTACTATACAAAAATATTTACTATGTATTTTATAAAAACACGGGCGTCGTCCTTTTTTTATGCTGCTGCTAAATGCTTTTGCACGTAATTTTAAAGGAATTACGTAGAACAGCTTGTAAGATGTTTTCGAAAAAAAAGAAATTATTGATATTTTTCCCTCTCCTCTCTCTTTCTACAATGAATAATACAGATAAAATGTAATATGAATATAAATTACAAGATTATATAAAATATAAATAAAAAGACAAAGAAATAGGTAAAGAGATAAAAGCGAAACAAGTAAAAGATAAAGAAGAGAAAGATGTGAAAAAATATGAAATACAGAATTAAAATAAAATTAATATAATTTAAAAATTTTTAAGATGTTAGAAATGTATTTATTTTGCTAATAAAAAGTAAAATTTCTGTTGCAATATCGAGTTTGTAAGCGGAAACATTGAGTAGTAAGAGATGGTTAAAGTTTAAGTAGAAGATAGAAAGTAGGGTCAAATCAAATAATTATATATCTCTAGAATAATATAATTTAGTAATTATTTTTAAAACTATAAGCTGATAGAATAATATTCAGCTGATCTGTAGTTATTTTTCCAACTATTTAATTATTAAATTTGTTCGATTTTTAAAGCTTTATGAAATCTAAGTTTTGTATCGAGTTACAAATTTATTCAGATAACAAACTTTTATCATTTCATTTTTGAGTTACATGATAAAAAAACGTAAAAATTTTCCACAAAATTCCACTTCGAAAAATTAGAAAACGTTTAATAAGATAATAATTAAAAAACCAACACATCAAAATTCAAAACAAATAAATACTTTTTTGTCATAAAATTACTTTGATATTATCTTATTGAAATTGTATTTAAAACAAATTTATCGCGTTATTATTTGTCATTTATTATTTACGAAACGAATATAATAATTATAAATTTTTTATATCATTACCTTGCTATTTTCGTTCGGATTAAAAAAACATTATGATATGTGAAAATTTAATGTTTCTAAATAAAAAAATACATCTTGCTTCTCTCCGTCTCTCGTACAAAAAATTGTTCTATAATATGTATGTATTAAAACTTTTTCCCTCTCACTTTTATATATATATTCCCATTTCTTGCCGCGCACAAATTTCATATGTATTTCGACTGTATATATGTATTAGCGATACAAGACAGTTTTATAGTTATTGCGCTCTAAATATATAAATTTAAAGCATTTTTAATTCTTTTTAAAAAAATTTTATTAAAAAAAATTAAAAAATTGTAATTTTACAGTAATTTTCAACATTGAGAATGAAAATAAAAGCTAACAGTGATAAATTAAATGCAAGTTAGATATCTAACATCAAAAATTAGATGCAGTTTGATGTATCAAAATTTTTGTCATGATGTGTGAGTAGATGTGTGTGCGTATGTATATGCGCGTGTAAATTGAAAAACACAATAGATGTGAGATATTCTGCATGATGATAGAATTGATTGAGGCAAATTAAATGTACAAAGTTTCCAGTTTCGATAAGTGAGAGAAGAATATCACATAAATATATGTATATCCTTAAGTCATATATTGATTGACACTTGCAGTCAATGCTCTGTTTAGCTTATCAATTGTCCATACACTCATATTTAATATAAAAATAAAAATGTAATAATTATATAGAAATCTTAATTATCTAACAAATAAAATTTGTTTTGATATAGAAAACAAAAACAAGGATTCAAAGATACTTTAACTCAAAATGACGTCAGTTTGTTACGAAACGTCAAATGACGTCATTAAACGTCATTAATTATAAAGCAGTAAATAATTTTCAATTTACAATTAAATATAAAATTAATAAATGCGGAAAACAAGAATTCATATATTTAGAGACTATTTTTTATAACAACATTAAATTATATATAACAGAATGCTTAAAAATATAAAGAAAAATTCTATATAAAAATATAGAAAATAAAAAAGTCCAATAACCTTTTCCTGACTTATATGTATTAGTTTTCTTCTTCTCGGTTTCTAAATTTAATAAAATTTCCTGCGACCGTTTCTTGATATCGTTTTTTCGTTATTTTTATCTGATTTCTTTAATTAATTAAATCTTATTCAACTTTTGAATAGCAGAGCAATTATCTAACAATAAATTACCTTCCATGGTTTGCAATAATCGTTTCCGGCGCTCTCGAAGATTTTTGCCTTTAAATATCGGCTCGTAACAATATAATTAATTAGAAGAGAGCATATTACTAATAATGACAATAACAATATAATAATAAGAACTCTTCCTTCCGTGTCATATTTCGCCCTCTTCTCTTAAGTACAGTTAAAACAGTCGTCGAACGAAGTTCTATCAACTATATAACTCACACAGCTACTTTTTTATATTTTTTTCCACTATCTAAATAGTTCTTCTTCCTAAAAACTTAACGTGCTAGCGTACGTTTCTTTTTTTGCTTCTTTCGTCTTTTCTTATTTATTTATCTAACTTTATTTATGTGTGTATATATACACATATAAATATATAACGGCTCGTTACACATGGCCTTAATTTAATAATTTATCATTGTATATATATATATATATATATATATATATATATGTGTGTGTGTATATATATATATTTATTTGTATATATATACACGTAAAGACTCGTCGTCATTGCGACGAGCATATAAGGGGCTAAACTTTCTGCGCTTTCATTTTCGAGCACGTGATATTTGCAAGCTTATATATGCTCCGAGAGCTGTACCTGTATGCTGCGCGACCAGGTGACGCTATGCATTGTTATTGGATCTTCGAAATGCTAAAAGGGTCCAAACTTTTGACCATAAAACGTTGCCAACTGCTAGCGAAAATTAAAAATTTTTTTGCGTTGATTGAGAAGCATAATTGTATTTTAAAAAAATGTGTCACCCAAATAGTAAAATGACGCCATTTTGATGTCTAATGATGTCACTCGACGTTAAAATGACGTAGGCTTGCTTCCTGGTAGTAACAGATGTTACTTCATCATTTTTATCTCTTTCATCGTTAATCGATTTAATATTTTCTGTGCAAGACAGATCAGCAGATTTAAATTTCAAACTTGTTATTTAACATCAAATGAATTATGAGTCAAATTTATAATTCATTGATCAGTCTTCGATATATCGATTTGTTGAAAAGAATTATGAGGAGAGAGAAAATGTAATATTGAATAATATAACTGGTTAGATTAATAAAAGCCGGACCGTAAAAATCAATTTATATATATTCAATATACTTAATTTAAATAAAACGTTTCGTTCTCTTGTTTCGGGCTAGTTTTAGCAAATGTTAAAATTTAAATAAAATTAGAACATTAATTTTGAAGTAAAATACAGTCTAGAATTTTTAACACTAATGTTCTAATTTTATGTAAACTTTGACATTTGATAAAGATGATTTAAAATAGAATCGAAATCTATTTGTATAATTAAATTATACTAAAGATACATTTTTCAGCTTTCTGCATTTTGACTCTTTTATTGTCCCGACTTGTTCTATATTATATAAATAGAGAGAGAACCTCCATATCTATTATTAACAAGATATAACATAATGTTTTTAAAATGGATATAATTAATAAAATATATATAGTCATTTCAAATAATTAACAAATTAAGTTAAAAAATTAAGTTAGAGTTGCTAATATTGATATTAGTCGTGTACTTAAAATATAGTAATAAGATTAAAATTCTTTTCATATATAATTTTTACAGATTTTACTTTTAATTTAATATTTTTATTATACATATATAATTAGTATCATATTTTAATGTAGAATTTTTAATTTTGCCATTATTATGCGCAATGTTACATCTTGTCTTTTTACCTCATAATTTGCATAGCTAGAAAGCCGTCGTTTTATAGTCAAAAGCTGCGGCAATTACTGTCTAAATGAGAAGAGTTTATAAACATTGTAAAAAGAGATACAGCAGATAAATCAGAGATAATTAATTCAGATTGTATATGTGTGTAGCGGGTATAAATGTTAGTATACAGATTTTCTTTGTGTATGACGAGTACGTTTTTGAGCTGTTAATTGATAATCTAAAAATAGAGACGTTTTGAGATTATTTATATTCCAATATCCGACTGGGTTCGATTTTCTTTCGTGTATTTGACAGCCAAGTAGCAAGATCCTAAAAATGTCATTACATTTTTTTTTTACACGAATAGTATTCATCGAATATACTTCCCAAGTAGCAAACTGACGTCATTTTGATGTTTAATGACATCATTCCACGTTCAATGACATCATTCTACATCCAATGACGTCATTTATGTCCAATGACGTTTATGTCATTTGGATGTTTAATGACATTATTCTACGTCCAAAGACATCATTCTACATCCAATGACGTCATTCTATGTCTAATGACGTCAAAATGACGTACGTTTGCTACTTGGGTTGCGTCTAACGTGCCATGTTGGTTGTCGGAAATTTAAGAAACCTCGATGATTCTCCTTCCTAAAAAATTTTGCAGAGATTCCGAAATGATTTTGTCTCGGAAACGTTATGTATGGTAACGATCTTAATTCGAGGCTTCAATTTGTCAGAATTTCCCCTATGGAACGTAAACGTCGCGCCATTTCTCTTCGAGAGAATCAATTAACATGCTTGGAAACGTTCGTGGTGTGTACAACAATCGATCTTAGAGCATAGAATAACTAGATATTCCATAAAATATCTAGAGGGAAAAAAAGAAAATCTGGTAATTAATTTAAAATGAATAAAAATCTCTCCCAGTTTATAGCTTCCCGCTTAATAATCAATGATTGATTATATTCAAACCACCGCCAAATTGCGCCAAAAATTCTCTGTAATTGTAGAACACCTAGACGAACTATAAATAGAAAATAACTCATCGGTATCTACAGTAGTTGGATACTTCACTCCTGTAACGTGTGTCATACCGGATAATTGATTCGCGTTATAAGCTATAACTACGACTAAACACATTCTACAGAACACCTAATTATCCTATATAAAACAACGTCATTTCGCACTTGGTTTTATATAACTGCAACAATTACATAAAAAACTCACACTCTGGTCGAGCCAGCATTCTCTCGCTTTCTCTCTTCGTCGTCATTTACATCGTCATCACTCTTTTGTCTTCGGTAATTTTTTTCTCTCTCCATCACAATATATTTCGATCGCATGTATCTCGCTCTCGCTCTCCTCCGGAAGTCTTTTTCCGTCCTTTCGCCACGCGGTTTGCTCTTTTCGCATCATGATGAGATTTGGATTTTGAGATTTTTCCAATTCCTTTGACACTATTTGGTTTATATATATATATATATATATATATATATATATATATATATATATATATATATAATGCAATCTTCTCTCTTCTTCGTTCTTTCGAGAAACATTTTTCTTACTTATTTCATGCTTCTTCAAGGCGGCAAATCATCAATTGTGTGTCGATTTTTCTCTAATGAATTTTGACTTTATTCTTTTTTTTCTTCAATGTCGTCAATGCTTGCGTCTCTTCGTGCACTAGACAGGGAAATATCAGGATATTCATCGAGAATTTTTTTATGTCCATCTTTGTTATGGATTCTGGATTTGTAGTCGTTTATCGTAAGAGAGAATTCATCTTGATATATATTTTCTTAACAATTCCTTTTTCATTCCGCTGATTTATATAAAAATGTTTTCCCGACTTTTTTTATCTACCGTATAAGTACACCAGCAATTTACTCGACTATTTGATTAATCGATTTGTTGAAATATTTATAATCATAATTTATTTAAGGTTCCATTTTACGTTTCTAATTGATTATTTCTATTTTAAATTCCATTGGTACTTATACTTTCTCTTGTTAGATTTTTTGAGGAGCTTTCTTTCTCTTCAGCATTGAGTTCTTCCTTAAGTCGAAGTTTTTTATTTCTAGTTAGTAATTTTCTCTTCACAATTCTAATTATCAACGCATTCCTTCAAGTTTCTTTCAATTTCTTTTTTTCAGTAAATTTATAATTCTCTCAATATCTTGTAACTTTTAATCTTCTTAGTATGTGAGAGAGAAACTTATTTCACGGTTTCTCTGCAAAAAAATAATGATTTTTCTCCCTCTCGATTATCTCTGATCCGGTGATTTTTTCATGCGCAAGACGGAATTCTCAACAAACAGAATCATCATTCATCACTTTTTGATTTTTAAAGGCGGCATCCAAACGTGACGGCAATGAAAAAAAATCCTTTAAGAATCTCCTGAAAATCTCCGCGGGAAATAAACATCGTTGTTCATTTTGCTTTCGGAAAGAAAACAACAATTTGATCGACTACTTCATCGATTGCTGGATCTGGAATCAATTTATGGTATTTGGTCGACACGGCGATGTGTCCAATGCTGATGACTACTCCGCATCGTATCGTTTCTCTTTCTCGCTGCATCTTTTTTGTTACGACTCCCTTTTTTATTTTTCCTTCCGGCAGCAGGGGATGACAGACGGACGCGATTCCGACGACGACGTACGGCATCGTCGTCATCTTTCTCGCAAACCGCGCGATATGATAGGCTCATTGGAGGCTACACTTACTTTCGATTTGCGATTTGAGCTCGTTCACCTGCGTTTCTATCGTATTTCTCAATTCTGAAACAAAGGGAAAGGAAAAACATGCTCAGTAAAACATAATCGGAACCTATGAAACGTACACTGTAAAAAAATATGTAATATGTTACATAAAAATATGTAAAGTTACATCAATAATTGAGTGTAATATTATACGATGAATAATAAAAATATATCGTGTAATTTTATACGTTATTATTTCTGTAATTTTATACATGTTTTTATGTAATTTTATATATTTTTCTGTACAGTGTAGCGTAATAAAGATTTGAATAGAAAAATAACGAGAATGATATATAAAAAGAATAAAATGTATATAATTTTTTGATATTAAGAAGGTTTCAAAAAATAGTATTAATTTTCATATTTTTAAAATGAATTATTTTCTAAAAGTGTAACAAATATCTGTTCATATATAAATATATGCATCACATATAGATATGTATATGTATTTGTGTATACACGTGCGTTATAATAAATAACAATTTATATTAATTATACATAATTAAATGTATTCGATCATTACATATTAATATAAGAATATATAATTCAACATTCTCTCAGTACCTACGCAAATGTAAAATGGATAAATAGTTGCAGTGTCGGATTTGCAAAATTAGAACAAGTTTTATTTTTACAGATAGAACTGCATGCCAGATATGCGCAGAAAATCAATAAATCGACATATAGTTGCAAACTTTTACATAGATTTTAAGAAACATGTATTTTTCAATTTGAATTACACTTTCGTGAAACATTTTTATTCGTGACATTATTTATTCAATAAATGTTTCTAAAAGAAACTTAAATCAATTTCTTCTTAATGAGGCAAAGTAGAAATTATTGCCAGTGTGTTAAGTTATTTTTATTTTTATTGAAAGTAGAAACTCTTGGTATATTCTTGTTCATATTGCTAAATAAATTTCTAAGTAAAAAAACAATTTTACTGTGCAAAATAATTAAGTAATTATGATATAACGAGAAGGGAATACTTTTTTATTAAAAAAAAAAAATAAATAAATCGAAAGATAGAAAAATATTTTTACAGCGTTTTTTTTCAGCTTGAACGAAACTTCTCTAATTTATTTTATTAGAATAATTTTTATTAGAGATAAAATTTTCTGTGAACATTACATACTGGTGAATTCGTCCTCATCCTCGGCCTCGGCCTCCGCCGCCAGTTCTTCTGGCGTTTTCTTCTTTCGCATCAGAGGATTAGGCTCTTCTTGTTGCACCTCCTGTATTTCTTCCCGTTTCTTTATGTTATACTGTAAGTCAGAAAGAAAAACAATATCAAGCGTGACAATTTCAATCGGCGTTGAGAGTGATCAAATATTTGATGTGTACAGTTTATGTATGTATAGTTTGTGTTACAAGAGAGACTTTGTTAGGTAAGTTTATTAAAAAGCCAAGGACCAATAAGCAATAATAAAATAAAAATATTCTCTCTCTATATATGCTTTAATACATTTCTTTTGGAGCTTTAGCAATTTTATATTCTATATATATATATGAAACTTTCCATGTCAAGTGGACCACTTTTATTAATGCAACAGAACCGAAAAACTTTTTGAGTTATATGAAAATACGTAAAATCCCAAATCCTTCGTTCTGTCTGTTTATTCGGTTAAATATATATTTAACATATCGAAATAGAATGAGGTGCTATTTTTAAATTATAAAAGTGCTGATTCTGTTTTTTCGATAAATATTATTTTTATTTAACCATTTATTGCGGTTATACAGAATGAAAAATCCTTTTCTAGAATTAAAGTATTCATATTAACAAATTTGGGCTCCTATATATGTATATTAAAAACACGTCGTAATATAATATGATGCGGAAGACTGTAATTATTTAACTTTCTTGATTTCTTTATACATATATAGGAACCCAAATTTCTTATTATAAATACTTTAATTCTAGAAAAGAATTTTTTATTCTGTAATAGCCAATAAATAGTTGAATAAAAATAAGATTATTTGTCGATAAAACAAACAGAGTCAGCATTCCTTTAAGAATAAAATTTAACTGTTAAAAAAGATCGGTTTTTTGTAATAAAGGCTCACGTGACATGGATTACTTTTATGTATGCATATAATTAACATATTGTATATAATGTTATTTTATTTTTTATTTTACTAAATAAAATAAATATTTTCTCTCTACATTATCTGACATATCATACATTATTTACAATAGGACTGCTATTCTCGCACACATATATTATCGGCATTTTGTACTTTGATGACAAACAATAAGCTCGATTGCGGTGTAAGCCGAACATGACATTAGTCGTACACAAATACTGCCATCGTATGTGTATATGTATATGTATGTATATACACCTGATATATATGTAGGTATTACCATTATCTGCGAAATACGCGCATCGTGATTATATCACTGACCAAGACCTCATTAATTATTAGTGCCTTTCAGCAAATGATTTGTTTTGCAATGAATGATAGCGCACAATCAATTTCCCGAATGTCTTTGTTTCGGCCGAATGAGTCGGTGTGTTTAAAAAAAAATAAATAAATAAATAACTTATATATCCGTATATTATTCGCAATTAAAAAAATCAAGAAACGTTTGAAATCAATATTTAATGGTATTTATAAAATATATTATGTATACGAGCTCTTGTGTTTACAGAGCATCGTGTGGTGATTGCAGAATTTATGTGATTTCTCTACCTTTATTGTTTATTCTATAATTCGCTTAACTAAATATGTGCATTGTCAAATTAAAATTATCAGACAGAATTATTCATGCATTTTCAAATTTGTAAGTGGTCATTAAATATAAATAGATTTTATTCTTCTATTTTATTTCTCTCTCTCTCTCTCTCTCTCTCTCTCTCTCTCTCTCTTTCTCTCTCTCTTCATATATGTGTATACATGTGTTACAAATGTTTATTAAAAATTTGTTAAAGAATTTCAATTATTTCATTATTTCAATTATTTCAATTTCAGGAATATTTCCAAAAAATGAAAATATTGCTCAAATAAACATTACATACGTTACAAATGTTTATTAAAAATTTGTTAAAGAATTTCAATTATTTCAATCATTTCAATTTTTTATTATTTCAATTATTTCAATTCCAGCAATATTTCCAAAAAATAAAAATATTGCTCGAATATGTATTACGTGTTACAAATGTTTATTAAAAATTTGTTAAAGAATTTTAATTATTTTAATTATTTCATTATTTCAATTATTTTATTATTTCAATTATTTTAATTCCAAGAATATTTCCAAAAAATGAAAATATTGCTCGAATATGCATTACATGTTTTACAAATGTATATAAAAAATTTGTTAAAGAATTTCAATTATGTCAATTATTTCATTATGTCAATTATTTTATTATTTCAATTATTTCAATTCCAGGGATATTTTCAAAAAATAAAAATATTGCTCGAATATGAATTAAACTCTCAATTTCTCAATATACATGCCGAGAAGACAGAGCAAGGATAAATGAGCACTGTTTCCCACGGCGCAGCGTCAAATCTGATGCTCTGATCCTGACGTTAATTAATGTCCCTTCCCGTACGCACATACGCAACATGTGCATTCTCCTGCATCTAGGTGTCTGCACTTCTGTCCATTCATGTTCGAAATTATGAGAACATTATACGTCGGATTAGGGCTGCGTAGCGATTTATCATTCGCCGCTTTTGACTGACGTGCCTTCGCATAAATTTGATATGAAATATAAATCGGCCAATTAAAATAAAAAAAAAAAAAAACAAAAATCCGCGCAATAATGAAAAATGAAGAAAGGTTGATATATTACACAGTAATTATTTGCGATCGATTGTACGAATCTTTCGAAATAACATATTGGGAAAAAGGAAAGGGTGGATTACATTTACCGTGTCTTGGAATTTTTTTCTGGAATGTCGTCCATTGTCGATACAAAAATTTGTATAAAATTTTCAGTCGTAAATATGGAAAAAAAATATAATCACTTATATTAATTGTAATGATTGATGAATTAATTATTATATAAAGATTATATAAATTATTTCACTGCTTTCAATAGTTATTTTAATACAATATGCTGCCTCTTCATGAAGCCCGCAAAGTGAGTCGCACTGCGACGTTTTTGAAGCCTGCGTCCTCTCACATACGATTCTCACCGATGTATTTTTCATCCTTATATAACTATTCTTATATATTATATAAGTTTGCGTAAGAATATTTCCGCTTCGCTTTTTTTATTAATATCTGAAAGAGCTATTAAACAGACAATTTTTGAATAACTAGATAACTTTTATATGATTTTATCGAATTTAAAAAATTTTTTTAATAAATTGGACAAATAATATTAACAAAATCTCCAAAATTTAGAGAATACTCGAAATATGTACGATCTCTATCTTTATTATTATTATATATACAGGGTTATATATATTCTAAAGTGCGAAAAATTTTAGGAGATAATTCTTTGCCGAAAATTAAGGGAGGTTTTTCATATATTCCCTCCCTGAGGAATTACATTTCTTTAAAAGAAAAGTAAAAATTAAATTTTTTTGAAAACTATTGATTTTACGAAAAAAATAAATCAAATAAAAAAGTTTTTAGAGAAATTAAACATTTTAATGCATATTTTTAGATGATCAGATTCCGGTCGGTTAAAAAATTCTAATAAATAATTGAATAAGGGCTATTAGTTTCATTTCTTATAACAATACGGGAAAATTATAAAATATTAATAAATATTCTTTTTACTAGTAGAAAATATCTGTTAAATTTCATTTTTTTAAGTTGTTCAAAATTTGAGAAAAAAATTTTACCTCCTCTTTTGGAGGAATATAGGATATAGGAAAGAGTATATGTTTTCATAATAAACCTCCCTTAATTTTCAACAAAAAATCTAAAGTTTTTCGCATTTATTAAGAAAATATATATATAATAATTTGCATTATAACGTGTTATATAATATAATATATGTATATTAGAAAATATTATACAATATAAAATATATTAGAGATCAGTAAAAGTTGAGAAAAAATTGTGATATTCGACACTTTTTCCCTCTCCTTATGTGTATTATAAATTTTGTCGATGCTATAAATAGATTGTATATTTGATACGGTGTCATCTTATCGCCGTGACAGGAAGATTGGAATCCGAGATCTCTGTCGGGATTTGGAATTGTAGAAGGCTTTAAAGAACATATATATATGTATATACATATATCGCGTCATGATCGATCCTCTTTTCAACATACATTTTATATAAAAATTTAATTTTCTATTCGCGTATAAATATAATGGTTAAAAATCACATATTATTCTATAAAAGACATAAAAAATAAATGTTAGACATAAGACGATTATATAAATTTTTTAAGGTTTTATTTCCGATTCAAAAATTTTTTTGATATATAATTATTTATTATATGTATATATCACGTGAGACAGACTCAAATCAATCCCATCACATGCGACATCTTCGACTACATACCACGCAGTTTTCCATAAACCTATAGACGCGAATCGCTCGCGACACTTTCATCTCAATATCATTAAATTAACTAACGCTTTGTAAATTAAGTGGCCTTAACTTCGTTTAAAGCGTACGCTCTTAAGTACTTCCGCGAGACGGTTCCTCGTCTGGTGAACGTCTTAAAAGGAGTCAGCCTGACTCTATTAGGAAGTCGCCATATTGAATGCAGGGACTCCCTACTAGAGTCAATTTGACCCCAGTTAAGTTCAATCTTCACTCTTCCTATTTCGCTTCTCCTCGTCGCTTCTTTTTCTTCTCACCTCCGTTGTCTCCTTTTGATGCCTTTCTTCCTCGAAGTGGAGTATTTCATAGAAATGATCAATCATCTAGATGTTAATTGCGACATGGCAATTCAAGTTATCTACGCAATTACGGCTACTCCATTTTTTATCTAATAATAAATAGACTTTACACATCAAAAATATTTCGATAAAACCTATTTATTATAATATTAAAGTTATATATATATATATATATATATATATATATATATATATATATATTTATTCATATTTATTATTCGTATATACGTAATATATGAATTTAAAAATTACATATATAAGAATATAATTATCAGACCTCATATATTTCTTATAATTACTAAACTTATGAATTATTACTATATTATTATCGAAAAACAAAAGTGTAAAACAAATGATTAAGCAATAAAGAAGAAACTACATATGAAGAGGCAAACGATGATACGTACAATGATTTGATAAAGTACATATATAAGAGAGT